TTTTGTGAAGTACATTGCATGCATTATCCTGCTTGGATTTGATGCCAGTTAACTGTTTCCTAAGGAGCACTGGTGCTGAAGTGCTTGGCAGCTCTCTGAAGGTTGGTGGTTGGCACCCACCCAGCATTCCCTAGAGGCAAGTCTTGATGGTTGGCCTCAGTAAAGGATATGCCCAAGAAGACTCCGCGGTAGCACTTCTGCTCTGGGAGGTGGGCTCCTTGTGAGCCCCAAATCACGTCTACACCACCCATCAACCTTCATTGATTCTTACTTCTTGAACATTTCTCTGTTTGTCTTTCCTCTGATACTTTATTCAATTTGCCATTCTCCCCGCCCCCCAACAGTTCTATTGGCATATAATTCACACATCATACAATTCAGTTGTTCAATCCTATGAAGAAATTTGTGTGCCCCCCAATAAAATAAATATAAAAAGTCCTATTAAGAAGATGTGTACATTCATCACCACAATCAATATTAGAACATTTTTTTCTCTCTTGTGCTCCTTGCTATTTGCTCCCCATTTACCCCAAACCTCCCCTGCCACACACCCCAAGAAACTCTTCATCCGGTTATTGTCTCGATTGATTTATCAATTTGTTCATTCTTGTTTACTCTGTTTTTCTCCTCATCCATTTTAACTGTTGGGACCCGGTGGTTACCTTGTGTGTTACTCTGTCCTCCCCTGGCCGAGTGCCTCTGCTCTGCATGCATGACCTGGCTTTTCTCAGAGCTTCATCTTGGGCATGGCCATTTCTCTGGAAGACAGATGCCTGTTTCTGTTTACTGCAGAGCAGCCTCCATCTGACGAGGTCCTATGCAAACTTAAGTGAGACTGTTATCCATTATCAAATTCATTCTCCCCAATTCTCTTCCCTCAGTTATGAGCGATCGCTTCTACTGAGTCACCAACCTGTGCCGCCCAGCATCATCTTTCATTGCATTCTGCCTTAGCCGCCCTCCCGCAGCCACTGGTTCTGGGCATTAGCAGGAGACTGAGAACTGGACTGTGTCCATTTCTAGCTGCACCCCCTTCCTGTCAAACCTCTCTGATACACTGAAGCCCATGTATTTCTTTTTAAAAATGGACTTGTTGATCTATTTTAGCTAGAGGAACGTACCCTGTAGTTTATCCAGACACATGTGAGGGCAGAGGTCACAAAGTGCCAACCCAGATCAGTACAGCAGTCTCCACAGGCAGCCAGTTAGAAACAAGACCTCAGGCTCCCCCTGAACATAGCAAGTAAATATCTATGGCTTTAAGAAATCCCTAGGTGATGCTCATGCTCTCTGTAGCTCTGTCGAGTCCAAAGCCTGGCTGTCCATTCGAATCACCTATGGAGCACAAAAGGACATCCAGGCCCCAGACCAATTAAATCGGAAACTTCAAGTGTCAGACCTGGCAACGATATATATAATTTAAAAAGCCCCCTTGGGAACGTCGATAGAGGCTGTCTGAAATAAACTAAAGTTCCTTTTCTTTAGCAAAGTCTGGAATAGCGGCTCTCAAACTTGACTGCACACTACAATCCTCTGTTTGACGTTGTTGGCATACCATAAATGTGTTGTGTAAATCATTAAGGAGCATGTAGATTATTCAGTCGATAAATACTCTTGAGTCAACTGATTAGTCATTTGGAAAAGAAGTAAACTGGATGGATATGTTACCCTAACCCCAAAGAATCCCTTTAGGGAAAAATAATAAACAAATAACCCCACTACTATTGAACTGATTCCACCCAGTTGATATAGTGGTCCTATAGAGGGTTTCTAAGACTAAACGTTTACCAGAGCCGTGGCCCCATCTTTCTCCTGTGGAGTAGCTAGTGCTTTTGAATCACTGACTTTACATCTGGTAGTCCAATGCTTATTCTAGGGCTGTGTAAATAGTCCCATATAGACAAAAGATAAGAAGAAGTTTTAAAAGAAACCATTGATGTACTCAAAGAATATGAGGATGCATTTAAAATACTTTAAAAGCACAGAAGGTCTTTTAAAACAAGATAATGTTGATAGGGACTATCAAGTCAGTTCAGTTCATAGCAACCCTGTGTACAAGAGAACAGGACACTTCTTAGTGTCCGGCATCATTGCTGTGTTTGGACTCGTTGTTTGTAGTCACTGGGTTAGCCCACCTGGCTAAGGGCCTTCCTCTTCTCACCAGCTCGCTGCTTTACTGAACATGACGTTCCTCTCCAGAGGATAGTCCTTTTTGATGCCATGTCCGAAGGACTCGTGAGAGACAGTCTTAGTCTCCTTGATTTTTCAGGGCCATCTGGCATAGGTTTCCTATATTCCTTCTTCTGGAATTCCGTAGTATATTCTGTTGCATTCTCCAATGCCAGGATGAGAAGGCATCCGTTCTAGAAGTCTGTGTAAGCAGCTGTCTATGCCAATAGCAGAGTGCTTTCACTGTCGAGGTAACTACTGTTGAAGTCGGGGTTCTCAAACCACCGCCCGTGGGCCACATGCGACCCGCCGAGGACGTTTATCTGGCCCGCCAGGTGTTTTTGCCCCGTTTGTTTTTTTACTTCAAAATAAGATATATTCAATGTGCACAGGAATTTGTTCATAGTGTTGTTGTTTTTTTTAAACTATAATCTGGCCCTCCAGCAACTCTGAGGGACAGTGAACTGGCCCCCTGTTTGAAAAGTACGAGGACCCCTGGTCTAAGTCGCTGTAATTTTAATCAGTGGTAGCTCAAGGATGATAGCCACCTAAGGAGTGGATCCAGTCTCCACCCGGAGAGAAGTCATGCCAATGGAATGATCCCAAACTCTGATCTCAATGAGTAAGGAAAAATGGGGGAAGAACTCCAAAATGTGAATAGAAGTGTTGCTCAAGGAAAGTTTGTGGTATCTTTCTAAAGGACCCATATGCGGAAATGTTACTTGGTTTATGTTGTACAGTCAGAGTAGACTTGATTCTCAAACCACTCTTTTTGTTGTTGTTGTTTTAGTAAAGTTAAACAAAAAGCATTCATTCTTCTTTGGCCTTCCGTATTCTTTGCCCACCTTTCATACGCAGGTGAGGTGATGGAAATACCACACCCCTGGGTCACCTGGTCCTCAAAGTCACATCTCTGCATTTCACACTTTGAAGAGTCGTTCCGTTTTGTTCTTCAGATTAGACTGATACCAAGGAACCAGGTAGTTTGTGCCAAAAGGAATGTGGAAGGATCTATTAACATATTACGAGGTGTTTCATAGTAGTCCCTTTCATAGTAGAAAGGGACACATATAAAATGATGCCATCTGTCAATTTGCCAGAATTCTGGAGAGGACTGAAGTATTGGCAAGACTGAGAGGCGATGACAGTTCATCGGCCACTGGTGGAAGGATAAAGTCAAGTGGAGTGTTTAGAGACTATATGTTTATAAACACGATAGTGTTTAACATATGAATCCAAGTGCAAAGGCACCTGCTGTTGGACCCACAGGTCTACATCTGGAAATTGTGCACTTGGCTGAAAACGCATGAGTCTCCAGAAGATACGTAACTGAACTGTCAAAAAACGGAAAGTCCAGTCATAGGAAAATAGCTAGGTAAATTTGATCCCTGATATCTGAAATGTTATTTATCTTCAGAAATGATGAGGAAGATTTAGATAGCCTCATAGAGAATTTCTAGATAGATTACTGGAGGGGGGGCGGAGTCCAGTAAATATAGAACATTCTATTTGACATGGCATTATTTTGTGGGGGAAAGTTTTATTTATATGCGAGGTGCTCATACATGTGTGTGTATTTCTGGGTAAATCTATGCCCTATCAGGAGTGGCTAGCTCTGAAGGGTTGAACCGATCAGTGCAAGGCCTGGTGTAGTGTCAGGTATACAGTAAGTTTGTAATCAATATGTACTGAATTAGTAGGAGTAAGAAGTTGAGAGAAATTTTTATTCTTCATTGCAGATCATCTTGAAGTATTTTAATTATTTTACATTGTTGTTAGCTGCCAGTGAGTCATCCTCCAATGCATGGTGACCTCATCCCCCAGGGAATCAAACCATTGTGATACATATACTGTTTTCACTGACTAAAAGTCAGAAGTAGGCCAGGTCATTATTTCTAGTCTGTCTCAGTCTGGAAGTCCTACTAAAACCTGTTGAGCATCACAGCAACATGCAAGACTCCACTGATGGAAGTTCTTCAGCTGGGACTCAAACCCACGCCTCCCTCGTGAATGGCAAGAATCCTACCACTGAACCGTATCTGTATAATTACCTTATCTCAGAGCCCGTAAAAATGCGCTCTTCCCTTTTGGGCGTCTGTCTCTTTGTTTGTCCGTTTCCTAAGCCTCAGTAAGGGAGCATCAGTAAGTTTCTTCCCCTACTGTTTCCATCTCCGACTCTCCCGCCAGCCCAGATCAAAAGGTCATGCTCCCTTCCAAGCGCATGACTTCTTCCCTTTATACATCCCTTCCTGGTCGCAGTGTCCCACCATGTTCTGTTGGGTCTGCCTTTGCTGGTGATGACTGAGAGCCTTGTGGTCAGAGATGGTTCAATTCATCCTTTGGGCTTCAGAGACTACCAAGGGTCCATCCTATTTGACAAATGGAGGAAATGGTGCCCATACTTCCGGGTGGAACTGCTTAGCGCTGGCTTAACCAAAACTTAAAAGAATGTGCTGCTCTTGACCCCTCGGTAGTATCCAATGTCCTGGCTAAACAGCATTTCCAGAATTGTTACTAATCCACATGCCAGCCGTTGTCATTTTCACCATCACTTGAGGGAAACCTTAAGTATCATTCATCTTCTAATCTCTGAGACTAGCCTACTGGCTCTTGATAAATATCTGTCAAATTGTTCACTCTCCCAAAGATGTACTTTTTATGTACCTAACTTTTCAGGTCACCTTGCAAAGAGCTCTTGTTACTTTGGGTTGACGCAGACTTTTGTTCCTTATCCTGTGATTACTAGAGGTCAGAGTGAGAAAAAAAGGACAAAGCCCAGAGGGTCTCGTGGACGGTCTAGGTCTACTGACCAAGCACAGTCCACAAAGACAATGGTTTTCATCCTGCTTTGGTAGGTAGCAGCTGGACTGCCCAAAGCTTGCAAGTGGCCAGGTGAGAGACACCTGTTGGCCTCAACCAGTCTGGACCAAAGAGTGGAAAAAGTTAAAGATTTATGGGAACATTAGTCCAAAGGAAATTTGTAGTGTAAATTGTTTAAAGGTTTCTAGCTGTGGAATTCCACAGGGGGAGTTCTCCTCAGCGCAGTCCTGCAAGGTTGCTGCGGCTCAAATGCACTAGACAGCAGTGGGCTTACATGAGTGGGAGCTGAAAGAAAGAGCTTTATCAGAGAAAATGCCTTCAGATTTCATCTAGTGAGCTGCATGGATGTGCAGGATTTCATTTAGAAGTACCCTCTTTAACTAGAAATTACTCAGCAACTGAGGCAAAAAGCCTGAGAAAAACTAATTTCCTAATAGATTCCACCCCTCTTCTAGGTAGAAAGAGAAATTCCTTGTATTTAATTATGTAAGCAATTGAAATTCCTTCATGTAAGCTAGAAAAAAAATCTGCACACGTTAGATTAGTTTTTTACTTCAGAGTCTTTTATCCAGATGGAATCTAATTAATTACCTACAAGTAATAGAATGCATCAAATATCAGAAAATTGCATGAAATCTAGGAGTATCTCTTACAGTGGTTCTGCCCTAACCTCCCTTTCTGACTCTACAAATGCCACTCCGTACCTTTAAACAAAGGGTAAGAGCAATCTCGTCTCCATTGCTGGCCTGATGAATTACCGTAGATGGGAGGAAAATGCACAACTAAGAATCAACTTTCTTCATCACTCTTGACATTCAACAGTCTGCACTCGGGGTCACCTTGAGATGTGACATCAATTCAGAGTAATAAGGAAGGTCAATGAAAAGCTAAAACGTTCTGGAGAACCCATTATAACACATCTCCACGGGATTCTTGTCAGCGCCACTGTGTTTCAAATGCAGTACACAGATTCCAGGGCAACCGCTTCGTGAAATAGAGACAATGGGTCTCTCTGAGATCTTGTGACACGGAAATTGACCTTTGGGGGGGGCCTCTCTTCTACTCCTTACATGTTTTCAGCCCTATCACCTTGTCAGTCATTCCTGAGAAAGCACTAAATGTACATTGAGTCTGTTGTGAAATTCCCTACCTGATATTGTCATCGAGTTTGTGTGTGTGTGCGTGTGTATGTGTGTGGTTTTAGTAGGTGAGGTTTTGGGTTTAAGGAAATGTCTTTGTCAGCTGGAAATAAGGGTTCAGAGTGTGCTCCTGGGAACGACTATGGAGTTGGTGATGTCTTGGTTCTGCTTCCACTTATAAATGTGTAGCTCTCTGTGTCTTGGTCCTCAGTTTAAGCTTTCTTAGCATGTAGTGGAAAACTCGGAGCATTAAAAAAATGTAATGCATAATTATTGGATTACACCAACATCCGTAAGTTTCTGTTTTGCTCTGTGGCAGTGACTAGGTTAAAATAAACATAAACAAACAAACAAACAAAAATGTACTTTTTATTTATCTGTGCTTATAACCATTGTTCATCTCTCAACAGCATTTAGAGTATCTATCAATGAGAGGAAAATCGAAATGGAATCTAGTTTATACATCATTATATTCAACTCTGTTTTACCTGGGGTGATGGGAGATAAGATCATGGAAATTACTTTTGACAGAAAGTCAATATATTACCTATAGAATTTTCCTTCATTAGAACTAATTTAAAATAGTTAATTTTGCTATTGTTGAAAATATACACAGCAGAACATATGCCAAGTGAATAGCTTGGGCCTGTATAATTCAGCATCACTGATCACAGGTAGGCAGGCAGCCACGCTCAACCTCTTTTTCCAAATTATTCCTCCCCATTCACGTAAACTCCACCCCCTTAGTTTCCTATCTACTCTTTTGAGGTTTCTGTCGCCAATGTGATCTCTTATAAATAATTCTTTAAAGAGCTCAATGCTCTGGCCAGGCTTTATTACTACTTAAACTAAGTATTTGTTTAGTTTTCAAAAGACTTTGGGGGGATGTTTTTTATTTAAGATATAAAAATTTTTTCAGGCAGTCATCTCGGGGATTCATCCTGCCTCCCTGGCTCCAGAAAGTATAGAGTCTATGAGAATTTGAAAATCTGTTTTGCGCATTTCCCCTTTGGATCAGCAGTTCTTGATTGAAAAAAAAATACCATTCAATACCATCCAGTTCTTTTCATGATCAGCCACGTCTGTTTTCTCCTCCTAGTCCTGACACCGCCTTCTCTGGTTGCTCCAGGTAAATAGAGACCAATTGTGTCGTCTTGGATGGCCACACACCAGCTCTTTACTGGTTTTAGTGTCTCATAGCAATCAGGGCCATTCGACCAATTGTTGCTGGCAGTTGCCAGTTCCCATTCATGTCAACCACACAGGCTAAAGCAGGATTTCACCAGCTGGGTTTAAGAGCTATTGCCTTCCAGAAACAATTCAGCAGGCCTGTCTTGAGGCACATCTAGATAGATTTGAACCACCAGCCTTCCAGTTGTAGTGGATTGATAACCCATTGGGACCACCCATTGACTCCTTTATTAAACCCATTATTAGGCACTGATAATGTGAGCTACTAAAAGATAAATAAAATGCTGTTTTCTCTGAGGTACAGTAAGAGAAACATACTAGTTTAATTATGCCAGAGTTTTAAAAAGCATTTTATTATAAATAGTACATTTGAGAACCATGTCTACATGTAATATTATCTGTCATGATAATGGTTTTAGGTCTTTAGAGTGATTCAATATGTTGGAAACCATTTACAGTAAAGCCACTGCAAATAAATATGGAGACACTCCCTGAGTATTTACACTTTTCTCAAAATTCTGACTCTAAAACTGTATCTTTTTTTCCCCCCCTTACAAAGCCCTGTTGGCTCTGCAAACACTCTGTCCAAACCATCCAGGCCTCTCACCTTGTCTGTGCGGGTAGCCACCTACCTGATCTCCTGCAGAGACTCGCTAGAGGGCCCGTTCTGAAAGTCTCCATCATCTCACATCATCCCTCTCTGTAAACCAAACTCACTGCCACTGAGTCGACTCTGACTCGGAGCGACCCTAAAGAGCAGAGCAGAGCAGCCCCGTGGCTGTCCAAGGCTATCATTCTTTACTGGGGAAGAACGCCCCCTCTTTCTCCAGCAGAACACCGGGTGGTTTCAAACTGCTGACCTTGTGGCAAGTAGCCCAACTCATAACCATTCCACCACCAGACCTCCTTTCTCATCTATAGGATGTAGTGGTCCATTCTGGCTCATAGCGACCCTGTGAACAATGGAGCGAAACAGTCCCTCTGGTTAGTGGAGGCTTCATCCATATTTGATGAGCGAATCAGGCCTTCAGACAAAGATGTCAGTGAGGGATGGAACAGACTCTGGAAGGATCAAAAGATCGGGAAGTGGAAAACCCAGAAGAGGTTCCGAGAGCCCAGATTCTAATAAAGGCTGGAGTCACTGTGTGAAACGCTCGTCATCGTGAAAACCCAAGCATGGAAGGCTGTTCCTCGTCAAGGGCCTCCTCCCAGCACTTCACAGCTTGCCCAGGCTCCGTTCCACTGAAGGCCAACCAAGGATTTTTCTTGACCACTTAGAGTCTAAACAGCTGCCCAGTTTAATTAATATTCTACTGTTAAGCCTGGAGCGGGGCCAGCTTCCAAGACAGGTGTTTGAATGAAGGGCAGATCTCTAACTTTCTGCATCACCTGCTTGCGGCTGTGGGATAAAGGCAAGCATCCGTGGTGACTTGTGCTATTATTTCTGCAATGTCTGCTTAGCCTGAGGTTCCTATTTGAGTGCCAGTTTATCTGCCGGCAGTCATCTTACGGGCCGGTTCTAGATTTGAGTCTGCAAAGTTCTGTCCTAAGATTTTTATGCAATGCCTGTTTGTTCATGGCCAAGAATCCCTCAGTGATAATGAGCCCAGCTCTCCTCTTTAGAGTGCCAAACGTCAGAACTCATTTATGGGATCATCAAGTAAGGACAACAAGGATTCAAGTGGGGGGCTTTGATCCACCAGGAGTTTCAAGGGGCAATTATCATTAATTCTTATGTTCCCTCAGTCCTGGTAGAAAATCTGAGCCTCAGAAACCATCACTTTGTGAGCAGACAGCTATTAAAAGTGCATTAATAACCTGTAGTGGCCATAGCATATGCCTTTTTAAAAGATTTGCAGCTTGCTTCTCTGTGGTGAAGACACAGGACTTCTCCAACCTAATTACAAAGCAATCAGACAATTAATCTGGAAATCGCTTTCTTAACAACAACAGGCTCTCAAATGAGGCACCCTGGGCAGCGCCGTTAGGTCAAGTAGCGTTTTGATGCACAGCCTGCACGGGAGCCCTGTGTGCTCTCCCGCGGACGGTGGTGTTAATTACCTACCAAAAGCCCGACCACCGCTCGGCTTTCTTTTTCCAGGCCAGAAACCGTCAGCTGAGAAACCAGCCGTCTCTACAGTGTTCTAGCCCGCCAACAGGCAGGCGCCAACCAAGCCCTGGGAGCAGCCAGCTTTGAGTTATAAGCGAATGCTGCACATATGGGCAGAGAATTAACTGGCACCAGCTTTCATTTCAGAGCCTCTCAGGTATTGCTTTGCAGATGGGTGGATGAGTCAGAGTGAAGGTCATGGGCAGGATGCAGGTTTCCATCTATCGCCCTTGTCCAACCTGGAGAAGTACTGTCTGCCTGTCTTTCTGTCTCTCTCTCTTTCTCATTCATACTACCGTCCAGATGGCCCCAACTCTTCATCTGATTTAAGACTGCGTAATGTCTGCTTTTGAATGTGGTCTGTTCTAAAATATGCACTATTTTATCACCATGTCACAGGGATGTACCAACAGCTCTTCAGAGACCGACTGATAATGTAGCAATTGATTTCTTTACTTCTTTCAAATGAGAACAAAGCGTTCCAGAGATTGACTACTACCTCTCTTATCTGCTCATTTGTAATTTCTCCCTAAGGAGAACTAAGGAAGGTTCTGTCTACGGGAAGCAAACATCTCCAAGAATGCTCACCCCACCCTTTCCCCTGCTACCGTGGCTAGGAGCGCGTGGCTGATTTTCTCTCAAAATCCCCAGTCATTTTTTAAAACCACCCACACTGGAAACTTCAGTCACTGTAGGTCTACCCTGTTTGGCCACTTATTTCAGATCCATCATCATCTGTGCTTGGATTGCTGTGCAAAAATGCCCTGAATAAGCCTCTGGAAGCTTTGGGCTGCTAACCGCAAGGTCAGCAGCTGGAAACCACCAGCCACGCCAAAGGGAGAGAGAGGAGGCTTTCTACTCTCGGAAAGAGCAGTTCTAATCGACTTGATGGCAATGACTGGTTTGGGTTTGGTCCTCTTCTGCTTCCTCGATTTTACCACGCCTCAGTTCACCTCGCACACCTGTGCCAAGTTGTAACCTGCAGGGATAACTCCCGTACTTTGGTGGTTGTGAGTTACCATTGGGTTGATTCTGCCTCCCTTGCTTAGAAACAACTCTTCTAAAAGGCTAGCTGCCACTTCCTTTATCTGACTTGTGGCCACCCCATCTGAGTGAGATTCGAACTGTCCTCCATAGGGCTTCTAGAGGCGGAGTTTTCAGAAGTAGACTGCCAGGCCTTTCTTCCAAGTGTGTCTGCATGAACTCGGGCCAGCATCTTCTCAATAAGAAGCCAGGAATGTCAACAGTGGCCCTGCCTTGGACCTCCCAAGTACAACTGTTCAGTGCTGTGCCACCTGGGAGGGCCCCCCTCTCCCCCACTCCTTTGTACCCACAAACGTAATTCAGGGGGCACTGGCCTTATCAGCCCACAATCCCCGCTGCAGGAGAGCTTTGCCCCCATGCCATTGACCTACTGTGTTTGACTTCTTCTTCTTTTTTTTTTTTTTTCCGCCACCTTTTGGAGCTCCCCGTCCATTTCTCCCCTGTTGAACTGACCTCCCGTGAAGCTCAAGTCTCTGCTCAAGTCTGTATCTAGCCCACTTAGAGAGCCTTTGTGCGAATTCATTTGGGGACTACAGTCTGGTCTTTCTTGTTCTTTCTCTTTGCCTGATGATGATGATGATCTAGCTTTCGGTCTGACATGGAACAAGACCATGACCCCAGTTAGTCAGGCTCCACAGCCCTGCAGGTAAAGGTACAGGGATTTGGCTTTACTTTTACAGCCACAGAAAGAGAGAAGAAAGCGAGGGTCATTTTCAATGAAAAGCAGTCCAGATAAGAAGGCTAAATAAAAAGATTAAAATGGTTAATGCTAGCCTTGAAAACACACACACACACACATATACATATATGTGCACACACATATACATATAAATTTCTCAAGAGCTGCATTAAATTAACCCTGTTTCTGTTACTGTCTCTGTTCCACTCATTCACAACTCACTCTCGATCCTGGGGGCCACTCATGAAACTCCCCCAAAATTAAAAGAGCTTTTGCATTATTGAATTCATTCCTTGCGCCTCCCCTTTTCAGACCAAAAAATATATATATATATGTAATACAATCTTCCTAATTGTGCAGGTTGACATCATTATAATCTCAGATAATGTTCTCCATACAAAGAACACAGGCCTTAGAAGGTGGTGCCAAGTTTCATTATTTTCTTCCAAGTGGGTAGGGGAGCAGGGATTTTATTTTTTTTTTTCAAAATGCCCTGACTAGGAGCAGTCAATTGCTTTGTTGCCCCTAATAGTTTACTCATTGGCTGTGAGCTAAGTGAGGGCCACAACCACCCCTTACCCACCCCCAATAAAAAATCAAAATCAAACTCTATCTCAAGATTAGGGCATTAGATTATTCCCTTTAGAAAACAACAAATTTAGCTGTGTTGAAATTATCCAGAGCTTTGAGAGATAAAGAATTATGTCCATGCTCCAGTGGAGGGGTGGGTGGAGAGGAAGGCCGTTGAGAAAAGTTGAAAGAACTTCATTTAAATGTGGAGATAAAAGGACAAAAAGAGTCGGGGATTACTGGACGGCAGAAGCTGAATTTGTTTCTCCAGGGGCCCAGAACAGCAGATGCAAAGACATGATACATTTCACTGCAGCAGGGGGAAAATGCTTCTCGATTCTCTTCCCGTAAAGCATCGGGCTGCTCAGTGCTTCCCACTTAAATGGTTGCGATTGTGCTGCCTGTCATAAAGTTAATGGTCGCCGGAGAAGGCATCCCTATAAAATTTGCAACCTTAAGTTAATTGAAAAATGTTCAGTGTAGCGTTGGCCATCGTGGAAGTCCTCAAGGTAGCACTCAAGGGATCCTGCTTAACGTGTTGGTCTATTCTTTTTGCAGTGGGCTAATAAATTATTTACCTTACATGCACGTATTGGAGCCATGCCTTCCTCACTCCAAATTACAATTGTCACTTTCATTAAGGAACCTGTTATGGGGCAGCTAGCTTGCTGTTCGGGCTTGGGCATACCTTTCAGATAGATTTTTCTGTTTTTCAAGAACGCACCAGATTCCTTTGCTGTCTTTCCCAGCTCTCCTGCTTGAAGTCGCAGTCGTCCCACCCCCCCCACCCCCCACCCAATTCAGCCAGCCTAATTAAGCATGCAGAGGGAAGCAAGGTGGTCTGCTGTGCCCTGAACTTCTCCCTTGCCAGCTGCCTGCCAAGCTTTCTCAAGGATCAGTGGCATGTTGAGTGGTCAAATCCTGAAAGTAACAAGTCCCCCCAAGGAGCTGCCCTCTTTACAGGCCGCAGTCGCTGCTCCCCCGGGCTGGGGAAGGAGACGGCGTCCTGACTGGGGTGCAGGGAGGACGCGCTCCACCAGCCTTTGTGTGGCTTTGCCTTCGCAGAGCTGCCTGGCCAGACCCAGTCCAGCTGTTGGGGAGAGGAGGGATTGTCAAAGACAAGATGGCCGGGGATGATTCCGCTGGGCCACTTGGTGCTGAGAGAGAGCGATGTCATTTTGAAAATAGGCCCCAAGTGCTTTGTTCTCAGCAGTATTTGACAGCTAGTTCAGGCACATCCATCTTTAAAATGTGTGCTTTGGAATAGGAGTGTTCTCTTTTGAACACCCCAGGCTTCTATTCATGTGCCCTGATTAACACACACACATACACACACACACA